ATCGCCCCCGGGGCTCTTCATTCCCGTCCCGATTCACGGAATAACGGGGCCGTAAAAGACGTTGAATTTTGGGACCGAATACGCTGTTAAAGTCGGGGGTCCTCGATCGACGAGCGATCGCGTCGGAGGAAGTGTCGAGATCCAAACGACGCTTCTCGGGCCTTGATGCTCGACAGATATAGAGGCGCCGCGCACACCGGCCGCGCGAACCCACACTCGCGCGTACACATGTGCGGATTTGCATTCTAATTGTTGAACGATCCGATAAAACGCGTCGTTACGATCCCCGTTCGGGGATCGGCAACTGGAAGAGGCTTCTGGCGTCGTGATACGAGGTGCCAAAGAGCCTTCGAGAGTGGACGAGAACGGTCAATAATCGAAAAACTAAGAGCCTCTTATCGGGTTCGTCGAAGGCAAAAACGACGTCGTCGATGTGTTCGTTTAATGCGCATAAGTATACGCGTTATCGCAAAAAATGAGCGACAAAAATACGATCGTTACGGACGACGACAAGTCGATCGTTTCGTGAATCTAGTTGCTCTGAATTAATTCAAGCACAGGCAGTCAACACCATCTTTACTCCCACGTAAAAATATGTCGATGTCTTTTTCATTAATACAAATTATTCCGTAAAAATTCGCGCGCGAGGGAAAACGAGAGAGATAGCAATCGCGCGCGCGCGCGCGTGATGCGGTAATGGCTCGCGAGCAATTAAATGTTCATTTTGGAGCGCAAGAAAACACGTACTCGTGTAATAATCGGACGAGAGGACGATTCTGTGAGCGAGAAGATCGTAAACGAGACGCGGAACAAACATCTACGGACCGCAAGATTGTTTTTATCTTATCGGACGGATCTTTTCCCAAAATCGTTCGTTGTTTACGCCGAGATCCAATCGTTGTCGTGGTGTTAGTTACCCACCCGATAAGTAAGAACACGCGTCCGTTCCGTTTACTCTGCCCTCCTTGACACTTGAATTCTATACAAGCTCTCACGGCTACTTCCCGAATTTTTTAATTACCCGCCCCATCCGCGCATGATTTACCGTCGGCTCAATTTAAGCCGCTTGTACTACACGCCACGCATGATCGTATTTTTTATGTAAGAACGCGAACTGTGAAATTAATTTCCCTCGGACACGTCGGCGCAAAATTAATTTCGTTCGGATCGTCGACGAACGCGAGCGGATGTATTAAATTAGTACACTCCTCCTTCAATTTCCTTGCGTTACCTTATCTAACATCATACACATCATCTGCATATATAGTATACACATATACGTGTGTATGTGTCGATAAAGAAAGAGGAGTGTCTCTATCATTATCAAGATTCTAATGAAATGATACATCATCGGCTGAAAGCAAAAAGCGACACGTCGGAGTTACCGGAGAATTAAATCGCACGTTTTTGTTAACACAACGCAAACGCGCGCTAGGCGTATGCTATTATTGTTCTTATTTTAACGTATAGTGTCAGCAAACCTGTCACCGCAATGACAGCTAGTATATGTACGTCTTACAAACCATATAATACACATTAAAGAGATGTTAGAAATAAACGCATGAAAATTAAAATCAAAAAATAGTGAGAAAAAGGAGTGGAAAAAGAGTAAAACAGAGAATATTATATATATTATATATAATATTCTATATTTATATATAATATACACACACACACATATCTATATATATACCATACTCACGTGACTAAAGTCAGTGACCTCGCCGCGGTCACGTGACCGAGATCAATGACCCCGCCGCGGTCGCGCGGCCGGGTCAGTGACCTCTCCCCCAAGGTCGCACGGCCGGGTCAGTGACCTTACGGTAGAGTATGTACATAATATATATAATATACAATAAAGTATAATATTATACTTTATATATTGTATACTATATATATGTAATAAATTATATGTATAATATATATTTTATTTAATATTATATACAGGGTGTCCCAGAATTGGTTTAACATCGCTCGTAGGCAGGTAGAAGGAATAAAACTGAGGTGAAAAGTCCTATACCATTTTGCTAGATTCGCAATAGTTACTGAGATTTTAATTAACAAAGATCCGCGAATAAGCATGCATCGGGCNTATAATATAAATTACAATCACGTTACTTTAAATAGTCACGTGTTGTTTTTCTACTCTTTTCTGTCAAGTGACTTTACTTTAGTCACGTTTTTAATTTTCTCCACGTATACGACGAACTGTTAAAATCGCTTTTCTGTCATTATTTACTCTCTCGATCTTACCGATTCGATTCGACTCGACTCGACTCGATCAACCAACTAATCGGCAACGCGGAAAAGAGACAACAATAGATGCGATACATTTGATATCAAAACGCGCACTTCGCGGTACACACGGAGTTTTTATATAGGAGAAGGACACAATAACGTTTTTGTTTTTTTTTTGTCCGATCTTTACGAAACGCACACTTATACAAACCCGTCCCACGCGTTATCGCGCCACGAAAAATCGAGTTATCGATCGACACTTTTCCGGACAATTCCCGATTATCCTCGGTCGTGTTTGAGTACCGTTGTCTAACGTACGGGTCATCTAGCTTGCCCATAAGAGATCTCTTGCCGCGGACGTTAATGAATGCTTCAAGTCACGACTGGTAATTACGATTTAAACGTCGCGGCGATGCCTGACGTGGCTGGTTGTGCACGTATATTTTGCGGCTGCCCGCGAGACAACGCGCGTCCAAGGATTCACATGCTTCGTCAGGACAAGAAGGAACAAGGCGGGGGAACACAATGCGAAACATTATGCGGAGGACAGACTGCTGCGTTTTAACTCGAGCTATCACGACGTGCGTACGTCCTCGCCTCCCGATATCTTTCTCTCTCTCTCTTTCTTTCTTCAATGTTCGATTATCTTTTTGCTCCCTCGGTCGCGCTTCTTCCCCGTCCATTTCGTCGGCTCTGCTGCACGTGTGTGTGCTGCGCGCGATCGTAAAAAAATGCAACTAATTAACGGCCAAAAAATGAAGCCTGGGCGAAGGTTTTTGCCGCGGCCGCGAGAGAAGGTCCGGGCTTGTGTCCGAGCGAATTGGAGAGGAGCTTGACCGCGTGTGCATCGCGCCTTCTTCTTCGTTTCGTTTCGTTTCGTTTCTCGCGATAACCATCGGGAGCAGCAAAACGACCGGGGCAGATCTCGTCGGGAACGAGAGTGTGAGACGCTCTCTTATATGCGTTTTTTCCGCGCGCTCTCATTTCATCGAGCGACGATTTGTCAAGTATCGTACGAATGAAGATAAACGGAATCGATTGTTCATATATGAAAAAAAAAAACAAAAAGAGAGAAACAAATGACCGGAGTCTTCCCTTGCTTCTTCCATCAACGATACGATTGTGTGTTGATTGACAAATTGGTTAAGTAACAGGTTAATGTTCATAATTCGTCGGGATTGCAAATTTTATGAGTGAACTTGACGATTAAGCGGTAACGTTAAATTACACGGCAGTGATGTAAATCGATTGGATTGGCAATAAAGCACTAATGAGATGGCTGTAATGATATCTACGCTACGCGGAGATAGATTATGTGAGTTTTTGCGTCCGGGTAAAAAGGATTAATGATAGTTGCACGAGTTGTTAAAGACTGGCTGTGGAAAGATGAGCACAGCAAGATTGTTATTACTCCGCGCGTCGTTCATCCTCGGCGTTTCCCATTCTTCGAGATTACTAACAGCCGCCCCGGCCGGTGTCGTTACCCCGGTGCGCCACAGCGAAAGCAATATAAGGCATTAATATTTATAGGCCACTATTCTCTCGAACATCGGATTTTACCATCTATGCATTAAACACTGTGTGTTAATGACCACTGGAGCGAATACCGTGTGCGTATAACGAGTGTAAAATATAACGTAACGAGCGCGACGTAATTAATCTGCATTGAGAAGCCATTAGTTTGGGAAAAGACAAATCGGTTATTATTTTCAGAGGGTGAACAAATTCCAAATTAGCTGAGCGCACGCGCACACACACACACAACGGCGATATTGCAAAACGTGTATATTATATTTAAATAAAAAACCGTGCAATTTCGTGTTCACACAGAAAATGTCGCGTAAAACAAAAAGAAGATAGGATCGTTGAGTAATGCGGTTAACGGCGGAAAGCTTGATCATCATCGGGCGCTGTTCGCGCGATCCGCCTTGCCAGCAATCTAATTAATCTAATTAAGTTGAAGCGCCTCGTTATACCGCGCGGCGCGCGCGCGCCGTACGCACAAGAGGGCATTAAGAAGAAGAAGAAGAAATGTAAGAGAGTTGGCCATTGCGCTTGTAACAGATCAGTATAACGCAAGATCGTCTCACCGATCGTCTCGTCGTCGTTCCAGACCGTGTCGCCGACAGCCGACAAGATCCATTAAGAGGATTATTATCGAATCGAGCGATCGCAGAGTTCTTTTCGCATACACCCGGCTTAAAATGTATTTTCTTTTTTCCACCGCCGTTTTTTTGCATTTTATACCCTCGACGTTCAAATTTAATCGCGCTCGATATATAATTCCACTTCGAACAAGAGACAATAAAAATTAAAAAACAAAATCGCGCCGGAACAAAACGTTACGCGAATTTGAAAATTAAAAGTTTTTAATGCAGTTAGTTGCGCGTGATAGTTTAATATCGCGCGCAAAACGTTTTCGAAGTTTCGCATTAACTGTTTTTAATTACGACGTATGAAATTATTACCGCGTATGTCACCCGCACCATGCGTGCGACTCCACATTTCGCGCGTCGCGCTGTTGTAATATCTCGGTATCATCGCAACGTGCTGGACGAGCAACTACGAGCGATTACAACTATCGTTTGTGCGACGAGATTTCTCGAGCGATTTACGCGGCACTCGGCTTTTGAAAAAGAATTGCGACAATTAAACTGCGCGCAGCGGGGGAGAGGAAGAGGAGGGTGATTTCTGTGCGCCAAAGGAACCGCTTCGATTCCGTCATCGTCAATGTCGGCTCGAACGAAGAAACATCCACTCACCCATTGCGTCTGAAACAGAAAAAAGAGAAATCCAGTTTGAATTAAAAACCAGTTTGTGCGGAAAGTAGACGTAATATAATTTCTTATTATCCAAACACATCACAGAGAAGAAAGAGAGAGAACGTTGTGTGTCTCGTTACCATCTTTATTGATGTTTACGGAGACGCAATAAATTTTATCCACACTATATTTTCACATACGGTATCTAAAATTATATCGAATACCTCGGATATAAATATCTTGGATACAAATATTTTCTATCTTTAACATGTGCGGGGAAAGATCTTTGCGATTTCTTTTATTAATGGGTCGTGTCGTGAATATAAATTTTAACCGAGCGAAGCATCGACGACGTACAATGTAACCTAACCCGAAGTGTACATCTCGTCCTCGTGTTGTGCCTCTGAATTCCATGGTGCGCGCGCGCGGAGCTCTCTGGTAAGAACCGCGCCGAATGACTCTATGCGCACATCACAACGGCACAATAAGGACGCCGCGCGGCTAATTCAGCGCTAATTGCCCGACGGCGCTAAAGAGCGTTCCGAAAGGGAAAAAGTTGTTTTCCGCGCAACACTGTGAGAAAGGCTATTAAGAGCGTGAATGGCGGTTCTTCTCGGTCGTGATTTCGATGCGAAGAGAGGAGACAAGGGAGTCGGAATTAGTGGGATGTACCACCGGTAAACGCGCAGAAAATGACGACTTCTCTTCTTTGAGATCGATCGGCTCGGGTGTAATATCGCGACGCGAATGAGAGGCAGGCCCGAGAGTAATCAGCCGCGAGTTCAATTCACATCGTTTTCTATTAAATAAAAGAATCGAGGTCTAATTGCCTTATTGTGAGCGTTACGAGTCACGTAAGCGCCCGCAGCCGCAGCCAGCCAGCCGCCGTCGCGATAAATCATAAGCAAAGACGGCGCGGTCCGGCGCGGCTCGAAACAATCGAGCGGACTGAATGAAACCTTGCGAAACGCGCGCGCGCTTCGTGCCGCCAATATATGTGTATATATTCGTTCTTGCTAATCGTTCGCTGTGTAACTCGAAATATCGTATTCCGAGGAGTCCGCCGACCCGATCGAGATTACACTGACGGGGGGATTGTCTCGTGAGAGACAACGAGCGAAATACACGGAGCGTCTGCGTGACGCGAAATCAAACGGGTTTGAAATTTGCGCGAGAGGAAAATCAAGAACGGTGTGAATGTATAGCCGGGGCCGCGGCGCTTTATTTAAACTGGAAGCCCGAACGGTCACTCATAACTCGTCGAGATAATCTCCGCGTGGGCAAGACACATACAGCAGCGCGCGAGCGCTCCTCCGCGCAGCTCCCGGTATCTACCTCCGTCTATCTCTATTTATTATTCTTAGGCGCGACTCCGTGTCTCCGTTCGAGCGAGGAGATAATCGACGCGGCTCCTCCTCGCGTGTGGCGTGTAGCACGTGTACATACGTGCGACATGCGACGCGTGTGTACGTACGTCGGTACACGGGGAGTAGAGCAAAGGGATTTTTCGCACGCCTCGTCCCTTCCTTCCACGGCCGGTTGCCTCGCTTCGAGCGGCGTGGCGAGAGCTTCGTGTACGGAGCTGACTAACCCATTAGCGCCCAAGCTGCCGATCGACATGGCGAATCGATCGATAAAAGCCAACGCCGAACACTTCCTGCCGATAGGAAGGCCGGCGTCGTTTCTTTCGCAGCCGATCGGGCGAGGAGAGAAAAATTGCTTTAGCCGCAGTTATCGCTAAATGAATAGCAGGCGCGCCGGAATCTTGTATCAGAGTGGCGTAACGCGTTTGTGTGTGTATGTGTGTGTGTGTGTATTTGTGCGTGACAATCTACACCTTAATTTAAAATTACATTCTGTGTGTATTTGGTTTTTTTATATCGATTTTTACATCGTGATATAAATCAATTAAAAAATTAGTGTCAATTAACTTACTAATTGTGATAAATTAAATCAACGCGCTCGCCTGAAAAGAAAAATGATTTTCTCTCCACATTTAGATAACACGATGGATTTTGTAGAATCACAAGAACAATTAGTTATTGTTTTCTAATCTCGGTTGCAACAAGCGTTATCGGAGATAGTGTGTTTTCTTCAAGTAGGAAAATAACTTTAAATAATATATACGACAAGCGCGCTCTTCCTACAAAACGAAACACGCAGATGTTTCGGTAGCTATTCTCGCAGTGGCTCTCGCGAGGGGTGCCAATAATTCGTCCGTCGTGAAAATAGAAGCAAGCGGCGGTAGGTGGAAATGTATAAACGGACAAATAAATTAGCGATTGCACGGGAATTCAAAAGAGAGGAGAGCGGGAGAGGGGCGACCGATTCTGCGTGCGAAAAGGGGTGAGAATCAGGCCCGCGTGTCTGTAAAACGTTACCGGCGAAATATGCGAATGCGCGATAAATGACGCGACAACACGCAGTCCTCCCCGTTCCTCCTCCCATAAATTCGACGATAATCGTTGCCGCCGTTGCCAAAAAGAAGAAACTCGAATGGCACATCCACACTTCGATCCGCGACATTTTGAATTCAGAGTCCAGTTTATCGGCACCGCTTTTTCGAGAGGACAATGACTCGAACGCTATCCCACCCGAGATGCTGATGTTTCTCCGCCAGCGTGTTGCATAAATCACACGTTTCACGAGACACTCTCGCGGAAATTTGTATCTTTATCTTCTCGCTAAAATATCGATACACCATCGCCGTATTTTATTCGTGAAATAATCATATATTGTTCGCGTGTGTATTAGATTTCAACATGCTCTCGCCAATTTGCTCCGACACGAATTCAATGACAGGAGTATTTGTAATTTTAAATTTAACGAGAGAGAAAGAGAGAGAAAAAGAGAAAGAGAGAGAGAGAGAGAAGCTGATTTTCATCGTACACATGTTCTCAAAAAAAATCTTCACCAATTGTTTAAAATGTGCAGTGTGTTAAGACCAAGAATACGAGAGAGAGAAAGAGAGAGGAAGAGTACATTTTGCCCTCCTTCTCCCGCCCCTTAACATCTCCTGCTGAGCTCTTTAGAAATAACCGAATTCAGGCCACGAAAGTTACGATCCGTCCCTGCTTGCGAGCGTATATAGGGAGCAACAGCCGGCGGCTGAATTTCCGAGATGGTTTCTGCCGATCCGGGCTTAATTTGTAGCACGTTCTTGCGGGCAGGGAGCGATGAGGTCCATTCGATCGTCTCGTGGCGTTGCCGGGTTAGTTAGCGCGACTTAAGGCGGCTGCTGATGCTGCCGCTTCTTGCCTCGGCTTCCTCCCCCGTCTCCTCATTTTTGCCGCTAAAACATCGTCCCTAATTAATCTCCTCGGCCCCTCTCGGGCCGAGACGTTGCACGAGCTAATATGGACGAACGGTGACAATGGCCAGAAGCCAGGGTCTGGAATCTGCCGAATTCGGCGGCGTGGCGAGCGATCGGGAGAAAAAGCCGGCCGACGCTTAACACCGTCCAAAAGGATGACGTCGTTGAAGACCTGGGCCAGAACTCGGGTCCTAATGGGTATTTGCGAGCGGACTGAAAAATGTACGAGTCGCACTTAACGTCTCACTCGAATGTACACCGCGCGCTCGGATGAGAGTCAGAAATTCGTTGCGCTCGACATTCGAGTTGAATTAATAAAAAACGTAATAAACGACTAACAATGAGAAACGAATAAAACAGTTCCTTTCTTCAAAGAGTAATTTTCTGTACGGATCATTATTGTCAAAAGAAACAATAAGTACTTCTGGTGCGAGAGGAAAACGCGAAAAGTCGATAAGATACAAAATGTTGCTTAAATATACAAAATACACTAATTATAAATAATAGCTAAATAATGACAGATTTTTTTCATTCAAATTCGTAAACTTATATAAAACTCTTTTTCGATATGTAACATATTTGTGACAGAAAATATTATTTCAATACGTTTGTGTGCGAAAGAATGTCTCGCGTATAAGTACGATGGATGTAGACCGCTAAAGGAGTACCGACGAGATAATGGCCGACACGACGGAGAGGCCAGTTTGGAATCCGTCGAATTCGCGAGAGCGCCGGCCGAACGGGAGAAAAACCTGCTCGACGCTTAACGCCGAACCAGCGACGACGCTGATGAGGGGCGAGGCGAGGCTCGCTAATGGGAATTTGCGAGACGGCCGTAACGCTCTCCGGAAACGTACGGGATGCACTTAACGTCTTACTTGAATGTAGCGCACGGCTCAAAAACCGCGCGCAACTGCAGTCCGCAGGTGGCACTTGAAGCTCGTAGTTCACAAGGCTCGAAGGGCGCGCGCGCGGTTAATTGGGATAATCGTCACAGTAAATCCGCCGGAGAAGCACAGCGGTCCCGGATAATATCTCTATCGGGAACGGGGTTTTTCATTTCTCGCCGCGGAATGTCGCGCGATAGAAACGCTACGGTGCGAAAAAACGTCCGGATGCATAATACACCCGAAGAGTCGCGTCTTGAATCCCGAATCGCGCGCGCGCAAACTCAATTTGTCGACTCGACCGGATCTTTCCTTACGGGCGACGCGCGTCGCCAGCGAGCAAAAATGCGCGATCGAGAAGCGATTCCGAGATCGTCCGAGCGCGATTGAATCGCGGATCCTTCGAAAAGAATTCTTGCAGCAAGAAAAAAGACCGCGCGCGCGAATCTCGCGGGTTCCAGTTGCTTTTTTTGAAGTCTCATTAAAAACTAGCACGCTACGTATCACTCGATTCTTCCATTTTAAGAACGAAGAAATATAGAAGTAATTAGGTACGCAAATTAACATAATAATTAATGCCAATGTATTAATTGTCGAATTAAAAATTCATCAGGTGTAAGGAGGAATGACTCCTGTTATATACACTTCTCGTATAATCGCACCAGGTTCGGTAGCGCAGACTCATCGAATTTTCATGCGATATACCCACAAAAATTTTCAACATTTATTCTCATTACGGACAAGTAAAAGAATTGAAATGGATGAGATGATGGGACTTCGTTATAATTTAGATTCGCGAGAGAACTAAC